TAGAGGAGATTTCTTCCCATCTCCCACCAGGCAAGTTCAGTTCACACTCTGAAGCAGCAACGTCTGTGACCCTTTTCAATTTGCTTTGAGGGCTGAGTCACGGCAGGTGTCACTGTTACACAGACCTATGAGTTCTTTTGCTTAGGGTGCAGCATTGTTCAACTGTGCGCTTGTTCAGTTTATGATGTTAATTCTTGCTGGGGAGCTGAGGAGGTGTTACAAGCAGAAGAGTTTTCTCTCTGCCTTATTTGCTCATGTGCTCTTTACAACCACCCCTGTGCCAGGACTGAGGTATATAATCCAAGTAAACAAGTTACACTAAGATTAGCCTCAGGCTCTGTAGCCCTGACTTCTCCTTCAACAGGAAGCCAACCTGAAAGGGGCTGACATTTACCACCACTGGGCTGCTGGGTGACACATGGCAGCTGAGGCGTCGAGGGACCACATACATTTCACAGGTGTGAGTAAAAGATGGGAAGTTGGTATTTACCCAGGGAAACGAAGGCCCGGTAATTCCTCAGCATCTGGTCCCGGTACAGCTGCTTCTCTGGCTGGGATAAGAGCTCCCACTCCTCCCGGGTGAAATACAGAGCGACGTCCTCAAACGCCACCTGGAGCTGCTAGCCCAGCAGCTGTGACCCAGGGGGACTCCCACTCCCAGCTCTCCCAGGGACTTTGGGGCCCTACTGGCAGGGAACAGGAGTCGCCTTTGGCTCTGGGGTGGGGCTCTGGGAAGGTCCTGAATCCCAGTGCAGGGAACAGGCTCCTTCCCCACCTCTGCCCCAGGCCTCTGCTCAGCACAGCTCTCGCCCCTGGCTCAGGCGCCTCGGGAGTAAAGGGGTCGCACCTGGCTCCGCATGTCCACCTTGGCCAGGGCCTTCCCCTCCCTAGCAGCAGGGACGCTCCCGGCTTTCTGAGCGGGTCCCAGGGCCCCAAAGCTGCTCCCCGGCCCCAGCGTTCCAGCAGCTGCAGCCTCTGAGCCCCCAGGCTGCGCTGGTGCAAAGTGGGACCTGGGCCCTGCCTGGCCATGCTGCGCTGAGCTGCTCCCAGCCCCAGGGTCATTAGCGCGGGAGCGACCTGGGTCCCGGCCCCCTTGGCCCCCAGCCGGGAGCAGTCAGTGCCTGGCCAGGGAGTCCCTGCCCTGCGTCCTGCCTGCGCTGGCCCCGCTGCAGCCATTGCCAGGCTCGGCTCCGGCCCAGGCAGCGACTTCCCGCCCTGCGGCTGGTGCCTCCCCAGGGCCGCCTCTTGCCTGCTCCCCACCCTGGGGCTGCAGCCAGGGCCTGCCCTGCGCATTGTCCAGGCTGGCCCGGGAAGGCTCCTCCCTTGGCCCAGCTCGCTAAGCGCTCCAGCCCTGCTGCTTCCTGCCTGCCCCTGGCTCAAGGGTCCCGCGCGTGCGCTACCAGCTCTAGCAGCCAGGGAAGGCCCCAGCGTAGGGACCTTCTGGCCGAGCCCCTCCGGACGCCTGGGTCCCGAGTCTCACCGCTAGGGCGCTCGCTGTCTCATCGCTAGGGTGCTCGTGGTGCCTGGGAGGCAGGAGCCCGTTACAGGCCAGACCCCTGGGCTGGGAGTGGGGCCCCGCTGTGCCTTGGGGAGCTGGCTAAGGCTGGGGGTTGGGAGCCCAGACTCCTGGGTCCGCCCCCGGCTCTGGGATGGGAGGGGGACTAGTGGGTACCAGAGGGCCCAGCATGTGTGTCACAGTAAGGGATGGGTCAGGCTGTGTTTGTTGCTTGGTTGTGTGATGTTGGTGTGTGTGTTACAGGAGATCACACCCCAGGCTGTGTATGGTGTGTAGGTATGAGTGTTGCAGGAAGGCTGCGTGATGTTGTCAAGGTTTCTTCCCCACTCTGAACTCTAGGGTACAGATGTGGGGACTTGTATGAAAGACCCCCCTAAGCTTATTCTTACCAGCTTAGGTTAAAAACTTCCCCAAGATACAAACTTTGCCTTGTCCTCGAACCGTATGCTGCCACCACCAAGCGTTTTAAACGAAGAACAGGGAAAGAGCCCATTTGGAGACGTCTTCCCCCCAACCCCTACACCCCCTTTCCTGGGGAAGGCTTGATAAGAATCCTCATCAATTTGTACAGGTGAACACAGACCCAAACCCTTGGATCTTAAGAACAATGAAAAAGCAATCAGGTTCTTAAAAGAAGAATTTTAATTAAAGAAAAGGTAAAAGAATCACCTCTGTAAAATCAGGATGGTAAATACCTTACAGGGTAATCAGATTCAAAACCTAGAGAATCCCTCTAGGCAAAACCTTAAGTTACAAAAAGACACAAAAACAGGAATATACATTCCCTCCAGCACAGCTTATTTTACCAGCCATTAAACAAAAGGAAATCTTACGCATTTCTAGCTAGATTACTTACTAACTTTACAGGAGTTAGGTTTCAGAGTAGCAGCCGTGTTAGTCTGAATCCGCAAAAAGAAAAGGAGGACTTGTGGCATCTTAGAGACTAACCAATTTATTTGAGCATGAGCTTTCGTAAGCTACAGCAACATCCGATGAAGTGAGCTGTAGCTCATGAAAGCTCATGCTCAAATAAATTGGTTAGTCTCTAAGGTGCCACAAGTCCTCCTTTTCTTTTTACAGGAGTTGTAAGTCTGCATTCCTGATCTGTTGCCAGCAAAAGCATCACACAGACAGAACAACCCTTTGTTCCCCCCCTCCGGATTTGAAAGTATCTTGTCCTCTCATTGGTCATTTTGGGTCAGGTGCCACCTAGGTTACCATAGCTTCTTAATCCTTTACAGGTGAAAGGGTTTCGCCTCTGGCCAGGAGGGATTTTATAGCACTGAAAGGTGGTTACCCTTCCCTTTATATTTATGATAGAGGTGTTTTACAGATCACACTCTGGCTGTAAGTATCAGGGGGTTGCCGTGTTAGTCTGTATCCACAAAAACAAGGAGGAGTCCAGTGGCACCTTAAAGACTAACAGATTTATTTGAGCATAAGCTTTCATGGGTAAAAACCCCACTTCTTCAGGTGCAAGAGCCTTCTCTGGCTGTAGTGTGCATTTGTTACAGGACCCTGTTGCCCCTAACTCCAGCACCCCCTAACCCTTGTTAACCCAAGGCCAGCACCGTCCCTCGCTGATGAAGAGGATGCTGGTCTATGGGGTAGTTTCTCCCCTTCTCATCCTTCCTCTGCGGGACCTTTCCTCTGTCCCACAGCACCTCCCCTAAGGTGGCTGGGTTTCTGCTCCCCCTCCCCCGTCTAGCAGTTGCTTCGCATAAGAGTGGGGCAGTCCAGTCCCTGTGGTTCAGGCAGCCGGAGGTAACAGCTAACGGTGGCTGAAGAGGGGAAGGGCCTTGGGACAGGTGGTGTGGGGCAGGGAGGGTCACCAGGGGCCTCAGAACACCTGGGTCCCATCCCCAGCTCTGTAAGCAGGATAGTGGGTTAGAGCAGGGGCGTCTCAGAGTCAGGACACCTGGGTTCTATCCCTGGCTCTTGGAGAGGAGTGGAGGCTGGTGGGTTAAAGTAGTGGGGGCTGGAAGCCAGGACTACCCTGAAATGGGATCTCAGCCATGTCTTCTTGTGATGCCTCCTGCAGAGATGGGGCCCACCCAACCCTGATCTCAACACCAACCTGGCTGACAACATCAAGCACTGATGGAGCAATAGCATGCCCACAGCACCCACTGATATGGCCATCGAGGGAGGAGTACGTAGCCGCATCCGGGCAGCCCAGCTCACAAGGCAGAGGGGCTCATGAGCAGCAGCCTTGCTGCATTGTCTGGGCCATGCCGAGGGGCAGGGCCATCCTTACCCATACGCAAAGTACGCAGCTGCATAGGGCAAATTTCCTGCTGTCCTGCACAGCTGCATGTTGCTCCAGCCCCTGCCCTGCCTCTTCCCCATGACCCCCCCCTTCCTGCCCCTGCTCTGATCCAGCCCCACCCCCACTCCACCCCTTCCCCAAAGCCCCTGCCCTGCTCTGCCCCACCCTGCCTCTTCCCCACCCCTGCTCTGCCCCCACTGCCCTGAGGACGGCAGCAGGGTAGGGCCTGCACTCACTGGCAGTGGGAAGTGCAGCAGCCTGGCCCCAGCCACACCGCCGGTGAATGCTGGGGGGTGGGTCCTCCCTGCCCTGCCCCGGCTAGGCTTGGGGCCAGCCCCGCCCCCTCCCACAGAGGCCTGCCCCCCGGGGGGGGGGCTGCATACGGCCCCAGAATAGCTAGGGACAGCTCTGCCAAGGGGCATTGGGAACCTTGAATGAGGGAGCGAGGCTGGGCTTGTGGCTACAGGGCTGGGCTACAGAACTCCCGGTGTCTACTCCCAGCTCTGCCACTTGCTGCCTCTGTGACCTTTGGTCACAGGGAATTGCCAGGCGGGATCAGAGCAGAGGTGTGTCCACTCCAGTGTCCTGTTTCCAGCACCAGAGGCTGCAGAGGTTGGTGTAAGAATCCCGCAGTAGCGGATGGGGGGGGGAGGGGGAATAGTCATCCTGTGCTCGTGTCACTCAGTGGGTCACACCGGGAAATACCAGATTCAGGACAAACTGCTGAGAAATAGGGCAGACACATGCCAAAATTGCTGGTTATTCTTCCAGAAGATATACCAAACCAGCAACAAAAGTAAACTCCTGTCTCACCACAGTGGCTAATAGTCAGAAATGCAGCCGCCTTAGGTATCCCAGGCCTTGTTTCATCACCCACACACTAGACTTAATGATGAGTGGTTATTGAAAACCAACTTCATCAAACAAGGAGTTCTTCTGAGCCCAAAGGCCCAGCCACAAACCCAGGTTAATATACAGCTCAGATCTTGCCCAATAATCACTGTTGCCAATCCTTTGGTATCTAATATCTAAAGCAGGGGTCTCAAACCCAAATGACCACGAGGGCCACATGAGGACTAGTACCTTGGCCCGAGGGCCGCATCATTGACACCCCCCACCTGCAGCCCCCGCCCCCACTCCACCCCTTCCATGAGGCTCTGCCCATGCCCTACCTCTCCCCTGCCCCCATTCCAACCCCTTCCCCAAAATCCCCACCCCAACTCTGCCCCCTCCCTGCCCCCAGGGGGTGCAGGTAGGGTGTGGCGGGGGCTCAGGGCAGGGAGTTGAGGTGCAGGAGGGGTGTGGGGTGCAGCAGGGGGCTCAGGGTGCAGGAGGGGTGTGGGGTGCAGCAGGGGGCTCAGGGCAGGGGGTCGGGGTGCAGGAGGGGGTTCAGGGCAGGGGGTTTGGCTGCAGGAGGGGTTTTGGGGGGCAGGCTCTGGCCTGGCACGCACCAGGGCAGGGCAGGCTCCCTTCCTGCCTGCCTGCCCTGCCCCCGCGCTGCTCCGGGAAGCGGATGGAACCTGGGGGAGGGGGGGTACAGGGGTCTGTGTGTTGCCCTGGCTGCTCCTCCAGGTACCTCCCCCCGAAGCTCCCATTGGCCAGGAACAGGGAACTGCGTGTTTGAGACTCCTGATTGAAAGCCATGTGTTTAAGACCCCTGATCTAAAGATTTATGTATAAGCGAAAGAAAGAGGTGAGGGTAAAAACTGTTAAAGGAATCAAATATATACACACATTGCAAAGTGCTTGTGTCCGGTTTGAAGCAGTGATGGAATAAACTGTTGGCTTGTTAAGTCTCTGATGGCATCCAAAAGAATGGAAGGTCCCAAGTCCATTGGTTAGAATGCTCCTTTTATTATAAAAAGAAAAGGAGTACTTGTAGCACCTTAGAGACTAACCAGTTTATTTGAGCATGAGCTAAGCTAAGCTCATGCTCAAATAAATTGGTTAGTCTCTAAGGTGCTACAAGTCCTCCTTTTCTTTTTGCGAATACAGACTAACACGGCTGTTACTCTGAAACCTTTTATTATAAGTCCATAGTCCAGAGATCAGTGCAGGGAAGAGGCAAAATGCAGATGTTTCTAGGGCTTTTTATAGCTTCTGCCAGACCTAAGTGTTTCATGAATTTCTTATTTCTTTTTTAGTATTTTGCTAAATGTGCCAAATAAGTCAATAACCAGCTCTGCATTTTGTCTCATACATGGGTGTACTGTCCAACTTTACATTGTTAGATTTACCTGACATTAGGCTCTGTGTGTTTTGTATAAAATACTGCTGAAAACAAGTATGATGGTCTGTGAGACTTAACTGTCAATAAAACTAACTTGAACATATGCTTAAAGTAGTTTATCTATAAAATAATATGCAGTTTGGTTTGAGTGTATTCTTAATTGTTTTGAGAAAGAGGAGGGAAGGGTGGATGTTAAAGTGTTATGTGTCTGTATGCGTGTAGAGAGGTCAGAAAACAACATTTATAGCTCTGGTAAAAAGTGGAATCAACTCTAACATAAAATAGTTTAAACTAGCCCTACATTTTGTCTACATGGGGTGTATTGAACAATTGAACACTGTTAGATTTCTTTTAAGCTAGGCTGTGTGCGTATTCTGTATAAAATAATGCTGAAAAACAAGTATGAATGTGTATGTGAGTGGGTGACATCTATAAAACTAATTTGAATGTATGCTTATGGTGGTTCATAAGTTGGCTTGAATGAATGCTTATTCGTTTTAGGAAGTAGAGCTGGGAGGGGTTTGTGACTGGGGCTGTGTGTGCAGGCTTTTGGGTTTTATTTATTTTTTTCTTTTTAATTTCTCTATCCCTTCACCCACTGCCACAATATACATAGGAAAGAACAGTTCTACCTCATATATGAGCTCCAAAATGAACATTTACTATGGTTCTTCTCTCCCGTGTCTTGTGGGCCACAAATAGATTGCTGAGACCGGCTAGACCCCTCCGGAGTGGAGAATTCCTGACTCGCCGTGCCACCGGATGACCCTACCACCGACTCCACAACGTTCTCCAACTTGACCTTTGTCCAGGACTTCGTTCTCGGGCTTGAGCCCCCTGTCCACCGCCTGCAGCCCCACCAAAGTATCCACAGGGCTCTTGGCGGTGGAGGTGAGGTCACCACCAAGGGTGGCATCCAGCTCCTGATAGAAGGGGTAGGTCTTCAGCGCGGGACGAGAGTGACGGTTTACCTCCCTTGCCTTCTGGTACGCCTGCCTCAGCTCCTTTCTCTTCGCTCAGCACTGCTGCCTCCTCCCGCCCCGTAACCGGACTTTTGGTTCGGGCACCATTTAGGGTTGCCAGATCCCTAAAGCCAGACACCCAGAAACCCTAAATGGCACCCGGACACAAAAGCGAAAACCTGGACAGGTGGCAACCCTACCAGTCATACAATAAGTACACACTGTGGAACAGGCCCCTCCTTTCATCTCATTAAAAGCTGGGGCATTCCTGGGTGGTCAGATCTCTCCTTGCCCAGTGTGGCAGTGACATTAGGAGGGTTGTGGAGGCTGTTACTCTTTCATGCTGTACGAAGGGGTGTGTGAAGCCCCATTTAAAGGCACAGCAAGGCATTACACACTGAAGAGCTGTTTTTAAAGGCAGTGTGGTTCAGTGGGCTGAGCTACGGGCTGGGAGCCAGGAGACCAGAGTTCCATTGGACCTTGGGTGAGGCTCTCTGTGCCTTGGTTTCCCCATCTGTAAAATGGGGATTGAGGCACTAAGTGGCTTTGTAAAGCACTTTGTGATGTGCAGCTGGCCCCCATCTTCAAGTATTTCAATAGAATAATATATTTCAGGTACAACCAAATCAAACAACTCTCCTACCCCAAGTGTTGTGACAGATTTTTTCCTTCTCCAGCCCCAAAGCACAGGTCAGATGGGCTGTGTCAATCCAATCAAGGTGCTGTTGTGTAAGTGGTGGGACGATCAAAGCATCAGACAGACTTTCATGGAAGGGAAAAAGCAGCCACTGCCCAAAGGAAATGAAGCCCACACTGTGCAGCCGGCTACTGCTGCCTTCAGCCCACCTTTGCACATCTGGTGCAATGGCTGCTGCCCTGCAAGAGGCATTGTGCTGTTTGACTCTCCTCTGAGAACGTCCACAACCATTTCGCCGTGTGCATAAGCTGTTTTTACAACAGAGAATTCATCTCTTCACTAGAGTGTGAGCTGTCGGGGGGAGGGGAGGGGAGGGGAAGAGATGGCAACTGAAAGCTCTTCTTCACAGACACATGGTAAAATAAAAACAAACTTCCTTCCCTACTTTTAACCATGCATGTACAATTCATAACTTCTGAAGCATCCTGGTGGATTCTTCATCTCTGGCAATTTTAAAATCAAGACTGGATTTAAAAAAAAAAATGAAAGTTCTGCTGTAGTTCAAACAGGCATTAACTCAGGGAAGTTTTGGCCGGTGTTATACAGGAGCTCAGGCTGAATGTGGTCTCCTGTATAGGCCTGGGGAAATTGTGCACCACTGCACAGGCGCAGAATTCATGTCCCCAGCAGACTTTTTTCCCCTTGGCAGAAAATACATTTTGCCATAGAGGCGCTGCAGTTACACCTTTCTCCCACCAGGAGCTGTTATGGCACCAGAACAGAGGGCAGCCAGCTCAGAGCTGTAGCAGAAGTCGCATTCCTCACAGCAAACTGCCCAAAGGGGCCAGGTGAGGAAGCAGGCAATATGGAGGGGTGGGGGGGGGGCAGACAGAGCAGGGCACATAGGGCTGCTGCGGGGACCACATAGGCTGGGGTTCAGAAGGGCTGGTGGGGGGGAAGACTGGGGTGAGGGTCTAAGTGGGAGTGGGGGTGCAGGACCACACAGGGATAGGGGCTACACAGGGGCAGGTGTGGCTGAGTGGGAGTGCAGGGTCACACAGGGATAGGGGAAGGAGGGTGCAGGGACACACAGGAATGGGGCAGATGTGCCTAACTGAATGGGAGAGGCTAGGGAGTCAGCCAGGGAAGTATGGGGGAGGCTCCCCAACTCTCTAACAATTCCCGCGCCCCCCCCAAATCTGTTACATACTTCTCCCACCCACACCCAACAACCCTTCTGCTTCACTCCCAGGCTACTTCCAGCAATTACTTCCCTCCCTCTCAGCTCCTCTGTTACTCCTGACTCCCCCAAGCCTTTGTACTACTGCTGAGGGGTGCAGGAAATAGGTTTCTGTATTATAGTTTACATGAATTCTCACTCAGAGTTCTGTGTTAATATGCCTAGTAAAGAATCTATTTGTCAAAAAACACTTTCTGAATCTTTTTTTTGTTCTCTCCATTGCTACAGACATACTTGCTGACAGGAATTTTGAAATAAATTACCAAAATAACTGAAACTAGTGTTCATGCATCTGATAAAGTGAGCTGTAGCTCACGAAAGCTTATGCTCAAATAAATGTGTTAGTCTCTAAGGTGCCACAAGTACTCCTTTTCTTTTTGCAGATATAGACTAACACGGCTGCTACTCTGAAACCAGTGTGATTATACTGTGTTATTTTGACAAATTAAATATGCAAAATTTTAAAATATTGTTTGCAGAATTTTTAGGCGCAGAATTCCCCCAGGAGTAATGGGAAACTCTCTCTGTGCAACTGTCTCTCTGTCCACCTCTAGATGTCACCCAAGAGTCACCCGCTGGCTGGAACAGAGCTAGATGTGGGGGGGGGAAGTTCCTGGCTGGGTCCCATCCAGGAGAGAGAGAGAGAGAAGGGGTTATCCTGGCTACAGCCCAGTGAAATGAGTGCGTGAGTGTAGGACAGAAAGAGAGACATGGCCGGATCCCACCTACATGAGGGGGAGGGCTCCCTAATGCAGTAGGCTGTGATCATCTGCTCTAAACTCCCTCCACCTGTCTGCTCTTCCCCACACTTGCTCAGCCAAATCCCCTCCCCTGCCCCCCAGTCTCTCTGCTGGGCATCATGGGGACAGGACCACTCCCTGGTCTGGATCTGCTGGCACTGTGTCAGGCCCACGGGCTGCCAGAAGCCCCTCAGGCCCTGGCAGTGGCAGAGGGGCACCGGTGTGTGTGACCGGGTGCCGGGTGAGGTTGGCCACTCTAGCAAAGTGCTTGCCCCAGTCAGCACAGCTGTACTGCTGCTCTCAGCTGTGAAAGAACCAATGTGATTGCAAGGAGGCGGCCCGTGCAAAGCTCTTGCTGCAGCCAGCGCGTCGGAATGTCCTCCCCCCAGTGTGCGTGCACTGGTGCCGGGTGGGTGGATTGGTTTTTTTCACGTTCTTACCAGAATCATCACAGTGGTGCGGCTGCTCCCCGGTGTGTGCGCTGGTGTGTTCTCAGGGTTGAACTCTGTGCAAAATCCTTGCCGCAGTCAGCACAGCGATACGGCCGCTCCCCGGTGTGCGTGCGCTGGTGTGTTCTCAGGGTTGATGTCTCCGCAAAGCCCTTCCCGCAGTCAGCACAGCGATGCGGCCGCTCCCCAGTGTGTGTGCGCTGGTGTCTGCTCAGCTCTGAGCGCCGCGCAAAGCCCTTGCCGCAGTCAGCGCAGCGGTGCGGCCACTCCCCGGTGTGCGTTCGCTGGTGCAGTGTCAGGGTGGAAGCACTGCGGAATCCCTTACCACACTGGGCACAACGGTGCGGCCGCTCCCCGGAGTGCGTGCGCTGGTGTGTTTTCAGGCTTGAGCCGTCTGCAAAGCCCTTGCCGCAGTCAGCACAGTGGTACGGCCGCTCCCCGGTGTGTGTGCGCTGGTGTATTCTCATGGCTGAGCTCTGTGCAAAGCCCTTGTCACAGTGAGCACAGTGGTACGGCCGCTCCCCGGTGTGCGTGCGCTGATGTATTCTCAGCTTTGAGCTCTCTGCAAAGCCCTTGCCGCAGTCAGCGCAGCGATGCGGCTGCTCCCCGGTGTGCGTGCGCTGGTGACTTCTCAGGTGTGAGCTCCGTGCAAAGCCCTTGCCGCAGTCAGCACAGCGATGTGGCCGTTCCCCAGTGTGTGTGCGCTGGTGTATTCTTAGGGTTGAGCTCTGTGCGAAGCCCTTGCCGCAGTCAGCACAGCGGTACGGCCGCTCCCCGGTGTGCGTGCGCTGGTGTATTCTCAGCTTTGAGCTCTCTGCAAAGCCCTTGCCACAGTCAGCGCAGCGGTGTGGCTGCTCCCCGGTGTGCGTTCGCTGGTGCAGTGTCAGGGTGGAAGCACAGCGGAATCCCTTACCACACTGGGCACAGCGGTGCGGCCGCTCCCTGGTGTGCGTGCGCTGGTGTATTCTCAGCTTTGAGCTCTCCGCAAAGGCCTTGCCGCAGTCAGCGCAGCAGTATGGCCGCTCCCCAGTGTGCGCGCGCTGGTGTCTTCTCAGGTGTGAGCGCCATGCAAAGGCCTTGCCGCAGTCAGCGCAGCGGTGCAGCGACTCCCTGGTGTGCGTGCACTGGTGCTGGTTCAGTGCGGACGGGTTGCTGAACCTCTTGGCGCAGTCGGTGCAGTGGTGGGGACGCTGGCCCATGGGGAGTCTCTGGCTGAGTTTACCCCGGGGATGGACTGCGTCCTGTGCATGGATCCCTCTGTGGGATGTGGAATCCTGCTTCCCTACCGCACTTTCCCCACATTCAGACTGTGTCCGCGTCCCAACCAGGATCCCGAGCCCTGCTGGAGAGAGCTCACGGTTAAGGCTACAGGTTTGTCAAGGATGGAAAATGTCACAGATGGAGCGATTTCACCATTTGTCTGTGACTGTTTTTTGGATGGGTGCCTCACCCTGCAATGGCGGCTTCTGTCTCACAGAACGTCTCTCTCTGGGTACTGAGACCTGGTCTGCGGGGTTACAGCGCCACTCAGATTTGCCCTCGCCCCCCAGTGATAATGGTAGGGGAGGCAAGCCAAACTACAGTGAATGGCCTTGCCACTCTGATCCTCTCTAGCCCGCACCAACCCCTCTGCACCAGGCTGCGGTCAGGCTTGCAGCACTGGGGGAAGTGCTGGGTGGGTGCCCCATGGCGAGGAGGAGGGCAGGTTTTGTTAAAAATCAAGGAGCAGTCACAGGAAGTTTAGTGATCTGTGACTTTTACTAAATTTTCTGTAATTTTTTATACAAAATGCCATGACAAATCTGCAGCCTGACTCAGGGTGGTTCTACCCTATGTTGTTTGTGCAGCGCCTAGCGCCTGCTCCCTCATGCGCCATGCACCTCTTGGGTTTTCTTTGATGATTAAACTGTAGCTTGCCCAGGATACAGACAGCGCCAGGCACAACAGGGCCCTTATCCAGAACTAGGTGCTCTAAGTGCTAAAAAAGAGGGTCCAGGGTTTGTTTCAAATTGATTTTGGTTATATTTCAATCAGAGGTTTCTATTTACATGTGGCTGGTTCTTAACATTCTCCTGTTTTATACCATGAGGCCTGTTCCACAGTGTTTGCGCTGTTTTAACCATATTGGTTCGAAACTAGCTCATGTGGATGCAGTGAGACCGGTCTAAAGCTGCTTAGAACTACGCAGTTTATTCCTGCGGGGAGTGAGTCCTTCTCAAGGAATTCCTTCTAAAGCAGTCATTTACTCTCTGCCTGACGTTTCACTCTTTGTGCAAAACTAAAACTAAACTAAAACCCTCAAAAGGGTAGGGGTTTTTTTGGGGGTGGGAAGTGGGTTGAGGGGATGACAAGTCACTCAGGGTTTGTGTGATGCAATCAGAAAACCATGTCTTGTTTTACAACCCAATCAGTGACACTGCTGAGCTGGAAGGGGTGAATGGCTGCTACCTGGCAGGCCTTTGAGCTACAGACAGTCACAGACTGCGTTCAGGCTGAGGGCTGGGCTAAGCATGGACAATGAAGCAATGTAAGTAAGAACGATTTCGTGCCACTTAGAGAGCAGGAGGAGAGGGGATGTGACAAAGGCCATTCCACCCCCTCTCCCTCACACCCAGCCTATACACCAGGGTACTCCAAGCTGTGGCCTGACGGACGATTTCGTCTGGCTACCAAACATGCCCAGCAGCAGCTGCCTGGAACGTGGGGCAGTTTTAGAGGATTACAGTGAAGCGCTGGAAGTGCCGGAGACCTGCTCTACAAAATGGCGTCCTCCATGTGGTGTAACCTCACACTCATCACACGTGACTCATCCTGCCCTGCCCTGAGTCACGCCCAACTTTCTCCTTGTTTGCTGGGGCAGGTTTCTCCAGCCTGAGAGGTCATGTGCGAAGTGAAGCAGCAGAGAGGGGGTGAGGTGGGAGCCTTGAGAGGACAGCGCCTTCTCTGCCAAGGGCCAGTGACTCTGGGATGCTCTCCCAGGCTGCAAGCAGGTTTTTGTCCCCATCTGAAGTATTTCTGGATCCAGGTGCCAAGGGCCTTAGGGCACCAGCACGTACAGCCTGAGTCAGGAGGGGCAGGCATTAAGCCCATTTGAAAAATCTCTTGGGCACCCCGGCTTGGTATGATTTTCTGAGATGTGGGAAGCCTAGAAGGTGGTGCTGCGATCTATGGACTGGCAGGCGTGTCTTTCTACCCAGGTGCTTGTCTGACCCCCAGTGCCAGATCCACTGACACGCACAAATGGATTTTATCCTCACAGCCCCAGTGCCCTTTCCATTACACAGCTGGGGAATCTGAGGCATGCTGGAGCTGTAGTGACTCGCTTCTAGAACTGAACCAAGATCTTCTGAATCCTACTACAATGTCCTACCCACTAGGTAAATGCAGTTCCCATATGCTCCCCCACCACAGAGACCTCTCTCTTTCCCTCAGCATCCCTCAAATCTTCCCCCTCCACACATTGTCCCATATCACTATCCCACCCTCTTCCAACTTCATCACCCCCCCATCTCCGATCCACTTCTCTTTCACAGCTTTGAGGTCCCATCATTTTTAGGTCCCATCTTAGGTCACAGATATCCAATGAGTAGGAAAGAGAGGAAGTATGATAATAAGACTCTCTGGCTTAACCAGGAGATCTTCAATGATCTGAAACTCAAAAAAAAGAGTTTCTACTTCTGTCATAAATATAAAGGGAGGGGTAAATACCTTTAAAAATCTCTCCTGGCCAGAGGAAAAACCATTCCACGTGTAAAGGGTTAAGAAGCTAGGATAATCTCGCTGTCACCTGACCAAAATGACCAATGAGGCGACAAGATACTTTCAAAGCTGGAGGGGGGGGGAGAAACAAAGGTTCTCGCAGCCTGTGTGATGCTTTTGCCGGGAACAGAACAGGAATGGAGTCTTAGAACTTAGTAAGTAATCTAGTAAGTAGCTAGATATGCGTTAGATTTTGTTTTGTTTAAATGGCTGATAAAATAAGCTGTGCTGAATGGAATGGATATTCCTGTTTTTGTGTCTTTTTGTAACTTAAGGTTTTGCCTAGAGGGATTCTCTATGTTTGGAATCTGATTACCCTGTAAGGTATTTACTTTCCTGATTTTACAGAGATCATTCTTTTATTTTTTCTTCTATTAAAATTCTTCTTTTAAGAATCTGATTGCTTTTCCATTGTTCTTAAGATCTAAGGGTTTGGGTCTGTGTTCACCTATGCAAATTGGTGAGGATTTTTATCAAGCCTTCCCCAGGAAACGGGGTGTAGGGTTTTGGGGGGAAAGACGTTTCCAAGCGGGCTCTTTCCCTGTTATATATATTTGTTAGACGCTTGGTGGTGGCAGCAATAAAGTCCAAGGGCAAAAGATAAAATAATTGGTACCTTGGGGAAGTTTTAACCTAAGTTGGTAAAAATGAGCTTAGGGGGTTTTCATGCAGGTCCCCACATCTGTACCCTAGAGTTCAGAGTGGGGAAGGAACTTTGACAACTTCTTGTATGACTAAGTCAAGTTACAAAGGATGAATATTTAAAAACAAACAAACAAACAAAAAAGCACCACAAGCATGTAGGGACAAAATTAGAAAAGCCAAGAAAAAACAAAAAGCTAAACTAGCTAGGGATATAAAGAGGAACAAGAAAGCATTTTATAAAGACAAGGGAAAAAAGAGGAAGACGAAGGGCAGGCTAGGCCCATAACTAAATGAAGAGGGAGAGAAAATAAGAGAAAAAGCAGCAATGGCCAAACTGTTAAATGCCTCTTTTGTTTCGTTTTCACCAAAAAAAGTTAGCAGTAATCAGTCAACTAACATAGTGAACACCAGTGTCAATGGGGTAGGATCTGAGCCTAAAATAGGAAAGGAAATAGTTATGAATTACTTGGGCCTGGTCCACAGTACATGATTATGTTGAATTTAAATGCATTAGGTTGAATTAAAACGAAATCCGTCCACACAACGAACCCCATTTTGTTGACTTAAAGGGCTCTTAAAATCAATTTCTGTACTCCTCCCTGGCAAGGGGAGTAGTGGTAAAATCAACATCACTGGTTCAAATTTGGGGTACTGTGGACACAATTCTACAGTATTGGCCTCCGGGAGCTATCCCAGAATGCTCCACTGTGACCGCTCTGGACAACAGTTTCAACTCAGATGCACTAGCCAGGTAGTCAGGAAAAGCCCCGGGAACTTTTGAATTTAATTTCCTGTTTGAGCAGCATGGTGAGCTCATCAGTGACCATGCACCGCTCACCAGCACAGACAGGTGACCATACAGTCCCAGATGCGCAAATGAGCTCCAGCTCCGGGAGGTACTGGACTGGATCTCATTGCAGTATGGGGAGAAGAATCTGTGCAGGCAGAACTCTGTTCAAAAATCAGAACGCCAACATATATGAGAAAATCTCCCCGGGCATGACGGACAGAGGCTACTCCAGGGACACACAGCACTGCCCTGTGAAAATTACGGAGCTCAGGCAAGCCTACCAAAAGAGGCGAACGGTCACTTGAGGTCACAGCCCCATACATGCCGCAACTATGATGAGATGCATGCAAATCTGGGGAGGGGATGCTACCACTACCCCACCACTGTCCGTGGACACCTACAAGGGGGGTCTCACAGAGCAGGATGATTTTGTGGAGGAGGAAGAGGGCAGTGCACAGGCAGCAAGCGGTGAATCCATTCCCCCCGGCAGCCAGGAACTGTTCATCACCCTGGAGCCAATACCCTCCACCCCCTCCCAAGGCGGGCTCCGGCACTATGATGCCAGAGAAGGCACTTCTGGTGTACCTTTGTAAATACGAGACAGGGTTTAAAAGAAAGTGTGTTTAATGATTCCTTTGCCCTGAAGAATTGGGATGTATTCGTGGCCAGCAATGCTACTGGAAAAGTCCGCTCACACTGGGCTGTTCGCGTTTGGCTTAAAGGGCTCAGCCCTGATCAGAGCCACGTGGTGGTGGTGGTGGTGGAGGCGGGTCGTGTTGCGCATCCGCACAGAAACCGCAGGCTCTCCTTTTAAATGTACCATGAATTGCATGTTTCACTGAGAAAGAGTCTCCCCTTTGGTATCTTTTAAAATTCTACTCTCCCTTTTTCTCCTCCCGCAGGTGCAAATGTTTCTATGCTCCCCCTATCATCTCCGTCCCAGAGGCTGTCCCAGATTAGAAGGCGAAAAAAGATGCATTCAGGACAACATGTGTTCAGAGCTTAGGCAGTCCTCCCGCGCTGACAGAGCCCAGCTGAATGCACAGAAACAAACAATGGCAGAGTCCCGGAAAGCGTTCAATGAATGCGATGAGAGGAGGGAGGCGCGCGATGAGAGCAGGCAGGACGCCATGCTCAAGCTAATGGGGGAGCAAACTGCTCCGCTGTCTGGTGGATCTGACGCGGGAAAGGCAGCAAGAGCACGCCCAGCTGTGCTCTTCTAATCGCCCTGGTGTCTGGCTGCGTGAAACTGGCCACCAGGCGATTTACCTCGACCTCCCACCCCGCCATAAACGTCTCCCCCTTAGGGTATGTCTACACTACGGAATAAGGTCGAATTTATAGAAGTCGGTTTTTTAGAAATCGGTTTTATAAATTCGAGTGTGTGTGTCCCCACAGAAAATGCTCTAAGTGCATTAAGTGCATTAACTCGGCGGAGCGCTTCCACAGTACCGAGGCAAGCGTCGACTTCCGGAGCGTTGCACTGTGGGTAGCTATCCCACAGTTCCCGCAGTCTCCGCTGCCCATTGGAATTCTGGGTTGAGATCCCAATGCCTGATGGGGCTAAAACATTGTCGCGGGTGGTTCTGGGTACATATCGTCAGCCTCCCGTTCCCTCCCTCCCCCCGTGAAAGCAAGGGCAGACAATCATTTCGCGCCTTTTTTTCCTGAGTTACCTGTGCAGACGCCATACCATGGCAAGCATGGAGCCCGCTCAGGTAACCGTCACCCTATGTCTCCTGGGTGCTGGCAGACGCGGTACGGCATTGCTACACAGTAGCAGCAACCCCTTGCCTTGTGGCAGCAGACGGTACAGTACGACTGGTAGCTGTCATCGTCATGTCTGAGGTGCTCCTGGTCGCCTCTGTGAGGTCGATCAGGAGCGCCTGGGCAGACATGGGCACAGGGACTAAATTTGGAGTGACTTGACCAGGTCATTCTCTTTAGTCCTGCAGTCAGTCCTATTGAACCGTCTTATGGTGAGCGGGCAGGCGATACGGACTGCTAGCAGTCGTACTGTACCATCTTCTGCCAGGCAGGCAAGAGATGAGGATTGCTAGCAGTCGTATTGCACCATCTTCTGCCAGGCAGGCAAGAGATGGGGATGGCTAGCAGTCGTACTGTACCATCTTCTGCCGAGCAGCCATGAGATGTGGATGGCATGCAGTCCTTCTGCACCGTCTGCTGCCAGCCAAAGATGTAAAAGATAGATGGAGTGGATCAAAACAAGAAATAGACCAGATTTGTTTTGTACTCATTTGCCTCCTCCCCGTCTAGGGGACTCATTCCTCTAGGTCACACTGCAGTCACTCACTGAGAAGGTGCAGCGAGGTAAATCTAGCCATGTATCAATCAGAGGCCAGGCTAACCTCCTTGTTCCAATAACAACGATAACTTAGGTGCACCATTTCTTATTGGAACCCTCCGTGCAGTCCTGCCTGAAATACTCCTTGATGTACAGGCACCCCCTTTGTTGATTTTAGCTCCCTGAAGCCAACCCTGTAAGCCGGGTCGTCAGTCGCCCCTCCCTCCATCAGAGCAACGGCAGACAATCGTTCCGCGCCTTTTTTCTGTGCGGACGCCATACCACGGCAAGCATGGAGCCCGCTCAGCTCACTTTGGCAATTAGGAGCACATTAACCACCATACGCATTATTCAGCAGTATATGCAGCACCAGAACATGGCAACGCGATACCGGGCGAGGAGGCGACGTCAGCGCGGTCCCGTGAGTGATCAGGACATGGACACAGATTTCTCTGAAAGCATGGGCCCTGACAATGCATGCATCATGGTGCTAATGGGGCAGGTTCATGCTGTGGAACGCCGATTCTGGGCTCGGGAAACAAGCACAGACTGGTGGGACCGCATAGTGTTGCAGGTCTGGGACGATTCCCAGTGGCTGGGAAACTTTCGCATGCGTAAGGGCACTTTCATGGAACTTTGTGACTTGCTTTCCCCTGCCCTGAAGCGCATGAATACCAAGATGAGAGCAGCCCTCACAGTTGAGAAGCGAGTGGCGATAGCCCTGTGGAAGCTTGCAACGCCAGACAGCTACCGGTCAGTTGGGAATCAATTTGGAGTGGGCAAATCTACTGTGGGGGCTGCTATGATGCAAGTAGCCCACGCAATCAAAGATCTGCTGATATCAAGGGTAGTGACCCTGGGAAATGTGCAGGTCATAGTGGATGGCTTTGCTGCAATGGGATTCCCTAACTGTGGTGGGGCTATAGATGGAACCCATATCCCTATCTTGGCACCGGAGCACCAAGCCGCCGAGTACATAAACCGCAAGGGGTACTTTTCGATAGTGCTGCAAGCTCTGGTGGATCACAAGGGACGTTTCACCAACATCAACGTGGGATGGCCGGGAAAGGTGCATGATGCTCGCATCTTCAGGAACTCTGGTCTGTTTCAAAAGCTGCAGGAAGGGACTTTATTCCCAGACCAGAAAATAACTGTTGGGGATGTTGAAATGCCTATATGTATCCTTGGGGACCCAGCCTACCCCTTAATGCCATGGCTCATGAAGCCGTACACAGGCAGCCTGGACAGTGGTCAGGAGCTGTTCAACTACAGGCTGACCAAAGGCAGAATGGTGGTAGAATGTGCATTTGGACGTTTAAAGGCGCGCTGGCGCAGTTTACTGACTCGCTTAGACCTCAGCGAAACCAATATTCCCACTGTTATTACTGCTTGCTGTGTGCTCCACAATATCTGTGAGAGTAAGGGGGAGACGTTTATGGCGGGGTGGGAGGTTGAGGCAAATCGCCTGGCTGCTGGTTACGCGCAGCCAGACACCAGGGCGGTTAGAAGAACACAGGAGGGCGCGGTACGCATCAGAGAAGCTTTGAAAACCAGTTTCATGACTGGCCAGGCTACGGTGTGAAAGTTCTGTTTGTTTCTCCTTGATGAACCCCCCCGCCCCTTGGTTCACTCTACTTCCCTGTAAGCTAACCACCCGCCCCTCCTCCCTTTAATCATTGCTTGCAGAGCCAATAAAGTCATTGTTGCTTCACATTCATGCATTCTTTATTCATTCATCACACAAATAGGGGGATGACTACCAAGGTATCCCAGGAGGGGTGGTGGAGGAGGGAAGGAAAATGCCACACAGCACTTTAAGCACAGCACTTTAAAAGTTTACAACTTTAAAATTTATTGAATGACAGCCTTCTTTTTTTTGGGCAATCCTCTGTGGTGGAGTGGCTGGTTGGCCGGAGGCCCCCCCACCGCGTTCTTGGGCGTCTGGGTGTGGAGGCTATGGAACTTGGGGAGGAGGGCGGTTGGTTACAGAGGGGCTGCAGTGGCAGTCTGTGCTCCAGCTGCCTTTGCTGCAGCTCAACCATACACTGGAGCATACTGGTTTGGTCCTGCAGCAGCCTCAGCATTGAATCCTGCCTCCTCTCATCACGCTGCCGCCACCTTTGAGCTTCAGCCCTGTCTTCAGCCCGCCACTTACTCTCTTCAGCCCGCCACTTACTCTCTTCAGCCCTCCACCTCTCCTCCCGGTCATTTTGTGCTTTCCTGCACTCTGACATTATTTGCCTCCACGCATTCGTCTGTGCTCTGTCAGTGTGGGAGGACAGCATGAGCTCGGAGAACATTTCATCGCGAGTGCGTTTTTTTTTTCTTTCTAAGCTTCACTAGCCTCTGGGAAGGAGAAGATCCTGTGATCATTGAAACACATGCAGCTGGTGGAGAAAAAAAAAGGGACAGCGGTATTTAAAAAGACACATTTTATAAAACAGTCGCTACACTCTTTCAGGGTAAACCTTGCTGTTAACATTACATACATAGCACATGTGCTTTCGTTACAAGGTCGCATTTTGCCTCCTCCCACCGCGTGAACGGATTTTGGTTGAATGCCAGCAAACATACACTGCAATGCTTTGTTCTACAGTGATTCCCCAGTACGTGTTGCTGGCCTGGAGTGGTAAAGTGTCCTACCATGAAGGACGAAATAAGGCTGCCCTCCCCAGAAACCTTTTGCAAAGGCAGAACCGCAAATGCCAGGGCAAAGTAATCCTTTCACATGCTTGCTTTTAAACCATGTATAGCATTTTAAAAGGTACGCTCACCAGAGGTCCCTTCTCCGCCTGCTGAGTCCAGGAGGCAGCCTTGGGGTGGGTTCGGGGGTACTGGCTCCAGGTCTAGGGTGAGAAACAGTTCCTCGCTGTCGGGAAAACCGGTTTCTCCGCTTGCTTGCTGTGAGCTATCTACAACCTCCTCATCTCTCTCTTCGTTATCCCCCTTAATTTGAATTGGGGGGGTAGGATTTTTCTATCCCTTGTGTTCTTACCCTCTCCCAAAATCTCTTCTCCTCATTCCCTACCACCCAAAATTTTAGTGGGGAAGGGTGTCCCTCAGTTTTCTTTCCTCCGTGTGTCTGATCCCGAGTGGTGTTTATGGGTTTTCCTCTATCCCCTAAAGAAATGTGTCCCTTTCCCCCTTTTGATAAATCCCCTTCGTTATGTAGTTATTTTCCCATAATCTTAACTTATTGTTTATTTCCTATAAATCCCCTTGTCTCTGTCCTAATTATGGTAGTTGGGTTTTTAGTTTTAATTCTCGGGGGGGGGATTTGGAGGGGTTTTATTCCGTGCCTTACTCTCTCTGATCGGGGTTTTTTATCCTCCCGTACCCTGAATTTAAAATTGTTTTATTTTCCCAACCATAGTAAGATCATAATTCATAAATTATAAGATTCTTTAGGGCCCCATTAACCCTCATGTTATTGAGGTAGGTGACCTCAGGTTTTATATAACTTCTCCTAATGGGGTCGCCCAAATCAAGATGTTTGAAAGTTCATAGTCCCCTGCTCGGCCCTGTCATGTTAACCTCAGTTTGGTCCATAAGGGGGTGAAATAGTTCTGATAACCCTGTGCAGTCAACATTAAAGGCCAATATCTATGTCCTCCTCCTTAGTCCAAAGATTATAAAGTTCTTGAGTCTTTCCCCCTCACTCAAGCCCATGCTTTAGTGCCATATTGTTTTGTTTCTCCTTCTCCTTCCCTCTCCTTCTCCTGACTCCCTCTTTCTCCTGAGTCCCTCTCCTTCTCCTGACTCATGTTGATTGTTTTCTTTCCTCCTGCTCAGTTGATTGTTTTCCTTCCTCCTGCTCATGTTGACGTTGTTTTTCATGATCCTCCAGCTCCCTCATTTTCATTCCCTCTCCCATTCCAGTGCAGGGATGGAGCAGATCCTGTGGGTGGTCAGTTGTATTGTTTCCCCCAACCCCCCCCCAGACATAGTAGAAGGGTCGATGTCTCGCAGATCTACCCCCCAGTCGGCCCCAGGGCCCACGCTGGCTCAGGGATAGGGATGTCATCAAGATTCTCCTCCAACTGGGCAATAGTTTTCCTTGGTGGACCTCCATGACCTCTGCTAATCAATCATCTAAGGTTATAATTCCTGTGGCCACTAATTCCATTTCAAAAGCCCTTAGTGAGTCCTTCTTGAGTCACCACCTCTTTGCCAGGTAGCTCAGACTCCTCCGCCCTGGATGGTGAAGGGACCCTGTTACTGCAAAGTTTTTCTCTGGTCAACATTCCAGGGTTAACCCCCCGAAACGTCTTGAATCTTCAGACGTTCCCCTCAATTCCCTTCGTTTTATGTTCCCAGTACTTATGAGAGGTTCACGGGGTGAGATCCCAGTCACAGTTGCAGAGTGTGGGGGAGTCACCTCACCCTCTTCCTGGGATCATGAGACTCTAGCAGCAGTAAAAAGAAGGTTTATTGGACAACAGAACAATCCACAACAGAGCTTGTGGACAACCAGACCCTCAATCAGTCCTTCTGGGGAGAGGAGCTAACCCAGCCTGTTCCCTGTTCCTCCCCCCAGCCTCCAAACTGCCAACTAAACCCACCCAGGTTCCTGCGCAGCCTCTGTTCACATTCCTGGCAAGGTGTTACCTCCCCTCCCCTCCTGGCTCAGGGGAAGGCTCTCAGGCCCATCCCAGGGAATTCCCAGGTCAACACCCCCTCCCTGCTGAGTCACATCGTCACCTCCATCTCCATTGAAGGAGTCAAACAACACGGCTGGGGTAGTGGTGGCTGAATCCCCTAAAATGGCATGCAGCTCATCATAGAAGCGGCATGTTTGGGGCTCTGACCCAGAGCGGCTGTTCGCCTCTCTGGTTTTCTGGTAGGCTTGCCTCAGCTCCTTCAGTTTCATGCGGCACTGCTTCGGGTCCCTGTTATGGCCTCTGTCCTTCATGCCCTGGGAGATTTTCAGAAAGGTTTTGGCATTTCGAAAACTGGAACGGAGTTCTGATAGCACGGATTCCTCTCCCCAAACAGCGATCAGATCCCGTACCTCCCGTTCAGTCCATGCTGGAGCTCTTTTGCGATTCTGGGACTCCATCATGGTCACCTGTGCTGATGAGCTCTGCATGGTCACCTGCAGCTTGCCACGCTGGCCAAACAGGAAATGAGATTCAAAAGTTTGCGGTTCTTTTCCTGTCTACCTGGCCAGTGCATCTGAGTTGAGAGCGCTGTCCAGAGCGGTCAGAATGGAGCACTCTGGGATAGCTCCCGGAGGCCAATACCATCGAATTGTGTCCACAGTACCTCAAATTCGAGCCGGCAACGTCGATTTAAGCGCTAATCCACTTGTCAGGGGTGGAGTAAGGAAATCGATTTTAAGAGCCCTTTAAGTCGAAATAAAGGGCTTCATTGTGTGGACGGGTGCAGGTTTAAATCGATTTAACGCTGCTAAATTCGACCTAAAGTCCTAGTGTAGACCAGGGCTTACTCTCACAGATAATGTGGAGCACACGGCAAGAAGCAATAACAATGGGAATACTGGTTTTGCCAAGGTCTAACCGAGTCAGTAAACTGCGCCAGCGAGCTTTTAAACGTCCAAATGCACATTCTACCACCATTCTGCACTTGCTCAGCCTATAGTTGAATGGCTCCTGACTACTGTCCGGGGTGCCTGTGTACAGCTTCATGAGCCATGGCATTAAGGGGTAGGCTGGGTCCCAGAGGATAACGATAGGCATTTCAACATCCCCAACAGTAATTTTCTGGTCTGGGAAGGAAGTTCCTACCTGCAGCTGTTCAAACAGACCAGAGTTCCTGAAGACACAAACGTCATGCATCTTTCCCAGCTATTCCATGTCTATGTCGGTGAAACGTCCTTTGTGATCCACCAGTGCTTGCAGTACCATTGAGAAGTACCCCTTGCGATTTACATAGTGGCTGCCCTGGTGGTCTGGTGCCAAGATAGTGATATGTGTTCTGTCTATTTCCCCACCATAGTTAGGGAACCCCATCGCAGCAAAGCCATCCACAATGACCTGCGCGTTTCCCAGAGTCACTACCCTTGATAGCAGCAGGTCAGTGATTGCATTGGCTACTTGCATCACAGCAGCCCCCACAGTAGATTTGCCCACTCCAAATTGATTCCCAACTGACCGGTAGCTGTCTGGCGTTGCAAGCTTCCACAGGGCTATCGCCACTCGTTTCTCAACTGTGAGGGCTGCTCTCATTTTGGTATCTTTGCACTTCAGGGCAGGGGATAGCAAGTTACAGAGTTCAAGGAAAGTGGCATTACACATGCAAAAGTTTCACAGCCACTGGGAATCATCCCATACCTGCAACACTATACAGTCCCACCAGTCTGCCTGTTTCCCAGGCCCAGAATCAGCGTTCCACAGCATGAACCTGGCCCAACAGCACCATGATCTCCCAATTGCCACATCCTGTGCTTCCAGGAACATCTGAGTCCATGTCCTCATCACTATCATCATCGCACTGTCATTGCTTCCTCACCTGGTTTTGCAGATTCTGCACATACTGCAGGATAATGTGCGAGGTGTTTACAATGGTCACAACTGCAGCGGTGAACTGAACAGGCTCCATGCTTGCCGTGCTATGGCGTCTGCCCAGGTAATTCAGGAAAAAAGGCGCAAAACAATTGTTTGCTGTTGCTTTCACGGAGGGAGGGGAGAATGACGACATGTACCCAAAACCACCTTGCTCAGCCTATAGTTGAAATGCTCCTTACTACTGTCCAGGCTTCATGAGCCATGGGAGCAAGGGGTAGGCGCAACCGCGTTGTGCTGCCGTCTGGGAGAGCCGCCTGAGGCAGAAGCCTCCAGCTCACAGGAGAGCAGAGTTGTAGCAGAAGTGGTGGAGCCATACACCATTTACGAGGACAGCTATCAATCCTATTGCACCGTCTGCTGCAGAAAAAAGGCGCGAAACAATTATTGCCATTGCTTTCACGGAGGGAGGGGTGACTGACGACATGCACCCAAACGCAACAATGTTTTTGCCCCATCAGGCATTGGGAGCTTAACCCAGAATTCTAATGGGCGGCAGAGACTGCGGGAACTGTGGGATAGCTACCCAAAGTGCACCGTTCCGAGAGTCAATGCTAGCCATGGTACTGTGGATGCCCTCCACCAACTTAACGTGCTTAGTGGGGGCTGGCAGATGCGTGGAGTGAGCAGGCAGACACCGCTCAGCTCTGCTGCACTGCCGGGGCCCCGGGCCATTGTAAGTTGCCAGAGGGGGTGAGGGGGGGAACACACCCGGGAGGTGGCAGGTGGGGCCAAGGGAGAGACCCGGCCCCAAAACTGCTGGAGCCCCACGGGCCACATAGTTTGAGACCCCCTGACCTAGAAGGAAATAAAGTAATAAGCAACAGTCTGCATGGATTTGTCAAGAACAAATTATGTCTAACCAACTTAATATTCTTATGAACGATTTAAAGTTGGGTGGGGTTGCAAGCGCATTAAAGGACAGGATTAGAATTTAAAGTGATCTTGACAAACTGGAGAAATGGTCAGAATTGAAATGACAGCTTAGGAAGGAGTACTGCAGAAAACCATCTGGGGTTACAGTGGATCACAAATTAAATATGAGTCAATGTAATACTGTTGAAAAGAAAAAAAGCAAATATCATTCTGGGATGTATTAGCAGGAGTGTTGCAAGCAAGATGTGAGAAGTAATTCTTCTACTCCTCTCAGCACGGGTAAGGTCTCAACTGGACTACTGTGTCCAGTTCTGGGCCCCGCACTTCAGAAAGGATGTAGACAAACTGGACGGGGTCAGAGGAGAGCAATGAGAATGATTAAAGATCTAGAAAACATGACCTACGAGGAAAAATTGAAAAATTGTATTTGTT